TGATAAAGTACCCACTGTGCTCCACAAGAAATAGTTACCTTCAGTGCATGCACGGATACCAAGAATGTGATGTGGGAAGAAAGACTGCCTTTATATCTTGACACATTTCTTATGAAGTGATCTCATATTTTCTTGGGCTACCTGTGGATATTTTTCACCATTGTGATGTTGGTGAGGATGCCATGTACCGGGTGATGTAAGTAGACAGTTGACACCCAACATGGAACACTGTGTGGCGTTCCTCTCGACCCTTGGATATGTTCCATCTCTGGACACAGTGTGGGAGGATGAGGAGGAGGAGGTGGGTTGGCAACATATCATTCAAGTTACAGTGTGGTCATTCGGGGTAGTATAAACATGCTACTTTCCTTTCTGATGCAATATATCTCTATATTTAACTATTGTTTACAAATAGTCCTATCATTTCTTCAATCTCATTAAAATAAGGTATTTTACTGTTTGCATGAAGATCTGACAATCCCGTTATGGGAGGTCGCATCAGGTGAATCCTAAGCACACATTTATGAACTATCTGTATGAAAGGTGTGTGGGTTCTTGAGCCAATCATTACTCAGCTTTCTTAAATGACTTGGCTTCATTTCTTTACTCCTTTACTTCTTTAGCCCTTGTTTGATTTCCCACGTGGGTATGATATATATGTGAAGCCCATATCTGGTGTCCCTTGCCATGATATTGTGGGAATATTGCTGAAAGCTATACTCACCCATTACTTTACTGGTCACACAGAACACAGATGTTCCTTCAATTGTAGTCCCCTTTGGTCGTAGATGCCATATGGCCATCAAACAAACATGGCGTCGCCCTCGTCATTCAGCAATCAAGTCAGAATTAACCAGGATCAGTAGCCATACCTGTGCTTGTAGACCTTTGCGGCTTGAAACCTCCACAAATTAAAATAGTTGGATTTGGCCGAAATATATTTGAATTGATACCTTGTTTCGTTTTGTCGCTGTGTGTACATCTGACTACACTTCTTAACATTATGACAGGACAGATCGACTGTCAACGTCTGACCGTGGCCGTGACGTCTCATAGACTAGAGTTAGAGTAGCTTCCCTTTGACAAAAGGCAGCTACTCTAGCGGACAGACCGATGGATTGCCGCGAAAGGCAATTAAAAACAATTGTTGTTTTGCGTATATGTTGCTTCGCTACTGGATAAGAAACAGATTTCAGTTGGAACTATATTGGCTACTGTCACTGTCCGACTGACACATCACTTACCCTATGACGTAATATATATTAATGCGCGCATTCATTCCAGGAAAACTCGCAATGTTTCGGTAATGTTTGTGAGAGAGGGAAAGCGATTTTGAACCACAGAATTAAAGAATTGATTATATAGATATATTGATTATATGATAAAGAGGTTATCACGTTTGTGTTTTTGGGGATGGTAAATATCCTGTATTAGGAATAAACACTATGTATTTAGCTCGCCAAGGCTCGCTATATACAATGTTTACTCCTAATGCAGGATATTTACCATTCCCAAACACACTCGCGTGATAACCTCTATATATCTCATAAGAAAAGCTTGTGGACATATAAAATAAGCAAGACATAGCACTTTTCTGCATCATGCAATTTAGTAAATATCATGTATAAATGATACCTGCATTTCATCAGTAAATAAAGATAAGTAAAGACAGCTGAATAGAGTAATTGCACACCGTGTTGTACAAATGGGCATTTTAATTTTTTTTTATTTATGCAAATATGCAGCTTATCTGGAGGTAAGTTATGTTCTTCATTGTATCCTTACAGTGACTTTGTAAGGCTGTGCAGTGTTAATAGTGTCTCAGTTTGACACAAAGCAGTCTTATTGCTCTATCAACTCGCCTACACTAACATAGACATTGCTTGGTCTATCTGTACTTCAGCTGCACAGTCGTATAGTTTCCTTGACCTCAGCATATTTGTTGCTGTACACTTCTGTGTCTTTGCCCCGTCATCATAGGAGTGGACATCTGACCACTAATTTAACTCATCAAGGCCTTTGAGAATAGCAAGCTGTGATCTGTGATGTAAAAATACCGATACAGAAGCTCAAGTACACACTCTCAGGAGATGAGACTTGGCATGATGAAAAGAAAGTCAAGAAATGCCCATATGTCATCAATCCACAACCATCTGATCGGTTTCATCCCGTGTGGATTCCTGATCAGAACAGCTTCTGGTACATGCCTCATGCTTGTGGAAACTAAGGCCCGACTACTGTGGGATCAGGTGGTCAGGCTCTGTGTTTGGCTCAGTGTATCTTACCCTGTTGACATGGATATTGCTTGTACACACAGTCACTGGTTTGTCTGATCCAGACTTGATTATTTACAGGCTGTAGTGATATAGTTTGAATATTGGTGTCTTCGGCATAGAACAACTCACTCACGTTTATTTGCCAGATTTATGTTATCCTACCTATACAGGATGCAAAATATCAATGTATTAGCTTTGTATAAAAGTACCAAAACAAGGTCTACAGGAGCCTGTATACCTTATCAGTCTTGCTCAATATACACTAACTGTATATGTACTGGTTTGTGCAAGTAAAGACCATCCACTAGCCCTCAAAATACCACCCCAACCCCAAACCCCCTCCCCATGATGGAATGGGTTTCCAGCAACCTAGATGCTGGTCCTCAGAGGCGACTAACTGGATTGGGTTGTCAGACTTAGTGACTTGGTTAGTAGTGTCATATCCTGACAGCGTTGATTGTTGTTCACAATATCAATCACTTGATTGTCTTGTCCATTCATTACAGACCACTGTCATGCAGCTGGAATATTGCTGAGTGTGGCATTAAATAACAAACAAAATACAAACAGACTCTGCTGGATACTGTTATAGAATGCCATATTGTGTTGTGCAGCTATGGCACCACCGGTGCCAATGACCCAATCATCTGCTGGTGTAATTAGCGCCAAGTTGAAGCCAACACTGAATGTGTTAATGCATGGGTAAAAAGTACTCTCCTGAAGCTTATATTTTTAAAATGACCAGGTCAGGAAACCTTTTCTCAGTTGTCAGAAGCTAAGGCAAACTCATTTACAATCCTGACAGCACAGTTTAGACAAGGAAAGATAACTCTTCCTTCTTGACATTCCTTGGAACTAATAGCAACAGTGATAAAAACTGCATTTGTTGCCTGACAAAACCAAGAATTATTGGTCACCCTGAAAACAAATGTTCAGACAGCATGTATTGGATGACTTGCATGGTGATGAACAGTTCATGGCCATAGGGGGTTTGGATGGAGTTTCATTGTAAGATGGTGATTTTGATGTCAAGTGACATGTCACGGCTATTACTATTGTAATTGTCAATGATGGATTTTAGCAAAAATATGCTGCAGAACTACAGTCCAGTGACACTTTAATATAATCTTTGGAAGAGCAATGACACATTTATTACAGATAGGCAATATTTAAAAGATGAATTATTTTCTGAACTTGGAAAAAACAGGCAAGCTATTTGAAAACAACCACCACTATTGTTCCATATCATATATTTTCTCTTACCGCAGCTATTTTTTATGTGCATGCCTTGAAAGAGAAACTTCCTTCTCCGGCAGAAGGATCGTCGGCTTCGAAAATGAAATGAAAAGACAAACAAGGGGCATCACATCCTTAAACGTATTGCATATTATGGGCGATAAAAGGGTTATGCCAACAAGTCTGGCCAAAACTGGGACACCCTTTCTAAAATTAACATCATGTCTATTTAAGTATGTAACACAATTCTAGCCCATAAATATCCCATGAAGACCCGGGATAGAATAGATCTTAAGCAACCCATGCATGCCGTAAAAGGCGACTATGCATGTCGTAAGAGGTGACTGACAGGATCAGATGGTCAGGTTCGCTGACTTGGTTAATGCAAGTCATCGTATCCCAATTGCGTAGATCGATGCTCATGATGTCAGTCACTGGATTGTCTAGCCCAGACTCGATTATTTACAGACTGCCGTCATATAGCTGGAATATTGCTGAGTGCGACATTAAACAACAAACAAACAAACTCTAGACCAAAATACAAGGCTTTATTGACCATATATGGACAATACAGTCCGATCAACACTAACCTTTCACAATTTTGCCCTGTTGTCCTTTACCAAACAAGTCGCATTGAGCTCTCTTTGGTCTCAACATCATGATGATTGCTTGTGTGGTTTATGAACTGTCAAAAGAAATACAAACACGATATACATGTTTCTGTTCGATATTCGTAGGTGTCAGACCCTTATTCGTCTCACAGAAATGCCTTAATATAGATATATTGAAGAACAAAGCCCTAAATGTACATTCCAATGTCTACACTATTGTAATTATTATAGTGCAGGGAACACGGCATAGCACAGTCCATTAGACAATACCCGCTATATGGTTCTTAAGCTCATCATGCCAAAGACCCGGGTTCGGAATTGTAATAAGGGATTTATTGATAATCAAATACAATATGGGTATGATGATATTTAGTTGAGGATACAATATGCATCAGACAACATCAAAACAAGTAACAGGAACTGGGGTTTTTTGGTGGTTTTTTTTAATCACTTTTGGATGAAGAAAAAAAGGTCGTGATTTTTTAACACAACATCAAAACATAATTCATATGATAATGCTAAAATGAACCTCAGAAGTGTAGGTAATATACCATTTTGTGAAATAATATTATTAATAAGTCAAAATGATGTCATTGTATAATGCCATTATCCATTGTATCTTGATTACGTCGATTCCATCGTGATGTCCTTCATTATATCATGACATTATCCATTGTATCATGCTGTTATGCATTGTCTCATGATGTCATCTGTTGTATCATGACATCATCCATTGTCTTATGACATCATTTTTCAATTATATTTTGATGTTGTGGCCTTTATAAATTAGTTCATAGCAATGCAGTTGTGAAATATTGTAACACATCAAAGTGTCTTATTTCAGTTCCTAACAATGTATGTTTTGTGTCCCCACCAGACTATGGAGGAAGAAGAGAGGTGGACTCCCCACATGTTGTGTTGGGGGTGTGGCGAGTTTGGTCAACACTGCCATGGAGAACAGAATGATGTCTCCTTTGACCGAAGTCCAGTGTTCACATTCAAGGGGGATAACCCCAAATGTCGAGTGAAATATGTGGGATGTGGAGCTAGTCACAATGTCATTATTACAGGTGAGTTGGAATACCAGTCAGTGAAGGCGACAATAATGCTTTGTGCCACATCAGCAATTTTCATCTATTCTTGGAATATTATTGCCTTTCGTCAGTGTTGTAGAGAAATTATTACGAGGCTATTTCCTAATTGAAATGAAGAGGTTTGTACAGAACTAAATTGTGAAATCATAAAATGAACACACAAGTTCAATGAATAATCTGTAGATTATATTGAAACTCACAGATTTAGATTTAAAATCACAAAAGCCAATAAAATGGGTCTAAGTGGCAGCTGCAGTCAGTAACAGGCCCAAGAATTACTGGTAAAGTAAGTGCATTCATATATGTTCAGATATTTGTCACCGTAGAATTCAAATGTCTTAAAACAGGACTGCCTCTGTACTTGAATCCAGAAAAGTGTTGGAAACTGGCAGGAATTTGGTGTTTACAACTAGGTATCCATTCTGTATTTAGTAGGTAGATAAGACACCGGTCAGGTCTAAAAGGGCTCAAATTGTCACTCTCATACAGCTGTAGCAAGCCTTCTGGAAACTGTTCCATCCGGAACTTTCTGAATGATGTAGCCTTCCCTGTTCATGTTTTTACAAAGGCTGATAACTCTTGCTGCCACGGACAGCTAATAAAATCTGGCCCAGCAGCACTGGATATTTTACTAGCACTTCAATCATTTGCTTTTGCTGATAAGTACTTCAAATAAACAGTATCTACTGCCACATAACAAAATATATTTTGAAATTTCATGATTATAGGTATGCATATAGCATTTGGCATGGCATGGGATACTGATACTGATGAAAAGAGGAAACTGAAAGATGCTGTACATTTGGGGACCTTCATTTACAATGGCCCAAGGGGATTCTGGATTAGAATTGGTCCCTAGCACCCAGTTTCTTGAAAGAAGTGACAGATAGATCAGATGATAAGGCTTGTTTTTTTTTGCGGATTGGGTGTCCCTAACGGTGTGGATCATTGCGCACATTATCATTGGTTTAATCTTGTCTCGCATGGACTTGAATATTTACTGGCCGCGATCATGTAGTTTGAATACTTCTGATTGTGGTGTTAAATAACAAACAAATAAACAAACAATGGTACCCAGATAATGTGGTTCTTGATTGACATAATTAGACTGAATACCATTTGAACGACAACTATCTTAGGAGCTACAAACTTTAGAAATGAACACCCCCCACCCACCCACCACCCAAAAGTGTTTGTTTGATGAAAATAGTGTTGTCTGTTTGTTTTGTTTGTTGTTTCACAGAATATTCATGTAACATGAGAGCTGAAGCAATGTTGTCGGCACCATACCTCTGGGGACTCCAGGTTGGAATAGTTGCCCAGCAAAGTATGTTTGTCCTAAGAGGCAACTAAATGAATCAGGTGGTTAGGCTCTGTGACGTGGTTGATGTCATGTCAGTGTACTCTGTTTGCATGGATCGTTGCTCACAATAACAATTACCTGATTGTCTGTTCCAGACTTAATTATTTACAGGCCACCAATACATAGCTGGAATATTGCAGAATATTAAACAAAAGAGGAAGTACCAAACCATATATATAAGACCTGTGTAATTTCCTGCTTTCTTTCCATATTAAGCTGAACATATTGATGTATCCTTAAGGTAACTGATATACTGTTAAAAATGCACTACTGTATATCACACATCCAGGGCTCGAATATTGGTAAACATACACTTACTCCTGGATCTATTCTCATGGTTCTTGCGATCTTAACTTACCTGCCCTTGATTTAATAAACAATTTACTGACCAATCAAACGTTGAGATAAGGAAAAAGGAATTGGGCTTTTTTGAGGGCTTTCTTTTGCATGTCAATCATTATTTCAATGTTGAAGTTCTCATAAACTCTATCATAATCAGAGGGACTGGCCGTTTTTGATATCGCCAAACCAACATTGAAGCTTGTTTATAACTCGCATTCTGATTGGTCTGTTAGACTGATTAGCATATCAAATCAAATTGGCTAATGAAAATCAAGAGTATGTAATTTGAAAATGTGAGAACCCTGGAAATGTAACCAGGGGTTACTTTACTTTTACCGAAATGTGAGCCTTGGAGATATAGAGGATGACACTGAAAACCCTTATTGACTAAAGGGTCATAAAATGTCTTTGTTGGTGAAATGAAAATTGGAACTAACAGGAGTTACTTCCCTTCTTCCATAACCCTCAACTTGAAGTTGGCAGAGTATAGCTGGTGTATCACATTTTGAACAGTAGGGATGGATTATTCTTTCATTGCAGCCGTGTGTTCAGTGTTCCTTTGCTAGCATTTGACATGAATCTTTGTACAAAAAAACAATTTCATTTCTGATTGAATTTGTGTATTTAATAGATAGCATCTTGAAGGTATAATATCGTATTTGCATTTGTTGTAATATTTTCCGTTTGCATACATCATTTGAGAAATATTCTTTTACACAGTATATAGTTCAGAGTATATACATGATGGGGTATGTCGGTCTGTATTTGTTTTAATTTTCAAATCATAACTCAAAATCAGTCAGGAAACAGTTAGGTTTTTGTATCAATGTATATATTTTTGTTTTTATGGATACGGTGGACTAATTCTTCATAATACTTATATATATTTACATGCCTTGCCGTGAAGTGATGTCTTTTGCTATTGAGAGCTTTTTTAAGTAGCTTTTTTGGGGAGGTTCTATTCATTGAATTGAAGTTGGACTGAAATGAAGGTGAGGTCCATTTCCACAGCTGAATTGAAAAAAAACATTCAAATATTACTTCACACATCATCCTATTGGCGAGGTGGTGACATGCTGATGAAGTAATTTTGAAATTTGAATTTTGTCATTTCCTCTGAAACATGTGGGACTGATATGCAATTGAAGGCTGAATCTGTTCATTAACTTATCTCAAAACCATTGAATATTTCTTCAGGTTTGATGAGATGGGAGGGGAGAGTTAAATGTCGTGATGACTCAATAGCTGTTTGATTGTTTCTCTCCAGGAAAGAACATTAAGTTTGACAAAAACTACTCTGGCCCCCTTCATTGATACCAACTATGATGTCATAGTTTGTGTGTAATTCCCTAAAGCTGCACATCACTATTTCTCATTACCTACCTAGGTATTCCTGCAAATATTTCATGAGCTCATGGGTGCACAGGCACAGCAATTTGCTCAGCACCTGAAGTGTGCAGATGAAGTCCTGTACACATGTTGGATGTTGAACTATTTTTTATCACCGACAGCCTCAGGGTACAACTTCCAATTTACTTGACACGCTTTGAGAATGTCATATCCACAAATTAGTAGAAGGAACTATTTCTGGACAGTCATAGAATTGTTTTCTCGAGCAAACTGTATTGTTAACGTCACCTTTAAGCATATGATGCTGTCGGTAGAATTGGAATTTTCAAACACCTGCCATCTTTATTGTTATTTTACAATGAGTTTCAGTCACAGTTTTTCAAATTTCTTTCTTCCGAGCCAAATTTTTTAAGTCATGAAGAAGACACATGCATTTGAACCCAGACATGCAGTGTTTCTGCTCAGGATTATTTAACATGTCAAAATTAGGTTTCTAACAAAATTTGACATTGTACACTGACTACAAGGGATGACAACAACATTATTAGCCATGGTTGCTTTGCTCCAGACCAAGCCACAATTGTCAAAAGACCATAATGTCCCACAAATGACAAAGAAAACAAAGATAAAATTGAATTTCTTCAGCAAATAAGTGCAATTTAAGAATTATGATAACATATCTGTTGAGGAAATCATCCCTCACAAACTGGAAATGTGGAGTTAACAAAGAACTCTCTTTGCCAGTTGCCATCACTAATTCCCAAATTAGCCATGCTAGATGTTCCATTATTGAAAAAATAAAGAATTTCATCTGTTTCTTAATTTGGTAACCCAGGGCCATTTAACAATGGTTATTAATCCCCACAGAGGGAAAACAATGAAAACTGTTCCAAACCACCACTCCCCATAGCTTAATGGTCCATGCCTGCTTTTTCATACACGGATAATTTCTTCATTTACAACTGTGCAGTGACCGTGTAAAGTCATGAAACACGTTTTATCATCAGACATCAAGATGGGCCTGATGAAACGTTCCCCATAACCAATTTTGTGAATGATGGACCACAAGTCATAAGTCTGGCTAGGAATACAGCATGGCGCTACTTAGTTGAGATTAGACGCTGTTATTATATGGCACTCTCAGATGCTGTTATTACATAGCGCTTTTGGTGTTCAGGCTGACCAAGGCTTAGTGCTTCAACAGCAGAACAGAATGGCCAACTGTCATTCTGCCTTGCTGACCATCAGGATTGAAAATATTTATCAAAAATCAATCAGAACATCACAAACAATAGTGCATGCAACAACAAACGGAAGGCCTGTAAAACAAAAAAACAGCTGGTTGTATGGAGGCAATGTGTATTGTGTTGGGGGCTGGGCACAAGGGTGTCAGAATGTTCGTGTGTAGTCTTGACGCAAAATTAAAAAGCTGTCTCAGATAACTAAAATGGCTACATGGATTGTCTGTCTTGTGTTCTAATGTACTGTACAGTAAGGGTTGCATGGATAGTCCCTGTGTGTTCTGTTCTGTACTGTACAGTAAGTGTTATATGGATAGCCCCTGATGTGTTCTGTACTGTACAGTAAGGGTTGCATGGATAGTCCCTGATGTGTTCTGTAGTGTACAGTAAGGGCTTTATGGATAGTCCCTGATGTGTTCTGTACTGTACAGGAAGGGCTACATGGATAGTCCCTGATGTGTTCTGTAGTGTACAGTAAGGGCTTTATGGATAGTCCCTGATGTGTTCTGTACTGTGCAGTAAGAGCCACATGGATAGTCCCTGATGTGTTCTGTACTGTACAGGAAAGGCTACATGGATAGTCCCTGATGTGTTCTGTACAGTAAGGGCCACATGGATAGTCCCTGATGTGTTCTGTACAGTAAGGGCTACATGGATAGTCCTTTATGTGTTCTATACAG